TTTTTTTGTGAGAGATATTAGCAAAAACTCGTAAATTTTTATTTAATTTCACGCATTGACTGACTTTTAAAGGTTTACGATTTTTGGTGTGAGTAAAACTAAAATAAAACACAATTTATGCATTGTTTCAAGTATCTTCTTCTTCATTTTTACGACCGACAACAATCCATGCACGTGTAAACAATGAAATTTAATTTCGTTAACAAGTTAACATGATTTAACGACGAGTTTCGTGAAAATATCAAATTGTCGATATTCAAAGCAAATAATTCCGACATCTCAATTTCATAGTAGGTACATGACGTCAGCAGACATAAAATAAACTAAAATCTCTTCTTTTGTATCGCGTGAAATCCAGCAGCGTTAATAAATCGGTTAAGTGGACTTAGCGTTTTTAAATCCGCCGATGTGAAAAACTTTCGATTTTCGAACACAACACAACACACACAAGTGCGATCCGGTTTTTTGTCGTAATTTATACTGTCTCACCTGACAGAGATTGCGTTTCACAAGCAGGCACGAGAGTTTCCTTTAATAATTTAATCCGGTAACTCTCGTAATTCTTAAATCTCGTCGCGGGCGCGCGCGCGTTTCGAGCAAAAGTTAAAATTCATAACCCGGGCTGGAAAAATCCTTGGCGCGGCATGGCACGTCTAATATGACGATTCGTAAGCAAATTGGATGCAAAGCCGATTCGAAATCCAGCTGGCGGTATAAATTACCAAACACTGCTTCCAGCATTGAGCCCCGCGAGTCGTAAGACAACAAAATCGACGAAATTACTCTTAGGTGTCTAGCCAAAGTCTAGTTGCAGACAAATTATTATTTCAACAAACTTCCGCATTCCGTACATACATGCAAACACGTTCTATACTAGCAAATTAGTAAATTTTCAATTAATGATGAAAATATGCGAAGTTGAAAAATTGCCAAAACAAAAAAAAATTAAATTTTCCATCGATAGTTCAATTGCGAATATCTCGTAAGCTAAAAGCGATAGGGACCAACGAGTCAAAGAATATGAAAGTTTGAAAAATTCTTTATATGACAAAATAATAAGGTATATAAATTTCATGGGGTAAAAGTTCAGAAATAATGAATAAAAGTGCTACAATTACTCAATTTATTTACTTTTTCCTTTCTTTTTGCGAATATTTCGGTTACTAAAAGCGATAGAGAGGAACGGATTAGAGATTCTTAATCTACGTCAAATTCTCCATAAAACAAGATAATAAAATCATAAAAATTTGAGAGAGACAGGGAAGAAAAATGGGCAAAATAAAAGTCACCAGTGCATTCAATCACGTACGGTGCACCGAATGAAAGTCACCGCGGTATTGGCCCTCCTACGGTGCCTTGAATAAAAGTCATCCGTATATTTTTCAACTGGAATCATAACGAAAAGATGAAACTAATATAACAACAAATATACAATTAACAACACAAAAAGTCTATTGATGTTGGGAATTTAATTTTGAAGCAAAAAATAAGTTATTTATTATAAAGAAAAATGCTGGCAAATTGTAAATTGTAAAATGCATGACACAACAATTTTGAAGCGTGCAAAGCAACATCTAAAAATAGCTGTGAAGCACAGTAAAAATGTGACATTTCTACGCAGTTAGCGTAATTAAATAATGGCAAACGATTAACATCGCGCAATCTGACGATGCATTTGTTCCAACGACAACGACGACGCCACAACGCTAAAAAGGTTATCTGAAAACACTCAGAGTTGTTTTCAAAAACAACTCACATTTCTCGCGTGAGAGGCGACCGGAGAGATCATGAGTGTACGCACGAAAATCATGTGATAACATATTTTATAATTAGACAGGCTCGAGACTTTTGACTCGGGTCGTAGTCATTTTATCGCCGGAGTCACACAAATCACAAATCATTCAAATTAAAATTAGCGCATTGCACATTTACAAAATGTATGGTTAATTTCCAATGCGAAACAAGCAAATATATTCACCACTAATTGCAGTCGTTTGTAAGCCCATTGTTTAGATGCTTAATCTTGGTAAACGAGAAAATATTAATTATTGTTTAAGGATGTGCAATGAGCAAGCCAACCAGGCATCATCAACGCGGCTGCGGAAAAGAATGAATGAAATGCGCGTGAGCCATGAGAGGTACGTGAATAAATGAATAATACCACTAGTCGTGCCGCGCCGTTTCGTTTCCAAGGTGTATAATTAAAGTGGGACGCAACGAATGAAAGTAAAATTTATTTACCTCTGAATAATTCCGCAGCGAAAAAAAAACATCAACAATTTTTGTTTCAAATTAATTTCTGTTTTCATCTACAACTCAAATTGAATTTAAAACTCATAATCAGTAAATAATTATATTTTGAAAAGAAAAGAAAGGTATAATTCTATATTTGTGTTGGTGATGAGCGTGAAAGCAAGTTACGTCATCATCATCGACGTCGACGAAAGTCTGCATATGTTTTATTCTTGATTTTTTCGCTTAGCGACACATTTCATCCTTCGCGCCGTTCGTTGACGTCGCGCGCTCGCTCATTACCTGTGTTACCTTGCTGATGGCAAATAGAGATCGTCGTAAATTTCAAAACCGCACCAAAAATCCAATATAGAAAGTCACAAACTTAACCTAGCTCAAGATTAAATTTATTCTCTATGCAAATTCGGTTTCTAAGCACCGGAAATGTGCAAATCTCAATGACACGTAATGACATCTCTTACAAGACAATTTAATTAGCTAAATATACTGTAATTTTACGTGCGCCAGCAATAAATCGATTTAATTGCATTAAAAAAATACACAAAAGTAAACAAAACAAACACAAATAATTTAACCTTGTGCAAATATATAATTTGAATCATGCGCAGGTTAAAACTAGCACGAAGCTGACAAACTTTACCTAGAAGAGAATAATCATAAGTCACCCACAGATATACGTATGTATAACTTTATGAGCAATTCCAGTAAATTTACTGCACAGTTGCAATTGCAGTTTCAATTACAGTTGCAACAAAGTAGGAATGAAAACAGAAACTTTACGATACGTACACGACTATTGCGCATGCGCATCGGCATAAAACCTCGCGTCTTAAAATTATACAAATTGCTTACAGGCCTTAGCGAGCTACCGCACTTAAGTAACTTAAATACCAATCGTCCGTTTGTGAACAAACACACAACGGCGCAAAAATTCAAAAATCATAAATAAATATTGTCAGCCTCGGAAACCGCAGTCAGACCGCTGAAATGCGTAGAATATGTGTATGTATTTGTTAAAGCACTGAACTGCAATCAATGCAGGTACTTGTGCGACGGTAGCGCACCGAGTATTTATAGTTTATAGTAGCCGGCATGCACGTGACGCGTGATGTATCTTTACTTAGTCCGGCGAGTGCGTAGGTAAATTATGAATGAACGCTGAGTTCAGAGCCAGACAGACACACACAGTGGGTGCAAAGAACGGGGACGGCAAATAATTGCGCGCATTCGCTTTGTCTCCGATACAGAATGGGTCATTTTTACGCGCATGACTAACCTGTTGTTTTAATATAGTGCTACCACCCAAGCTGCTCAAGTCAGTCGCGCATGCGCCGTACACAAATGGGCGGAGCAAATCAGCATATATTTCATTTTTTCATGTGTTATTCCACTTTTAGTTTGTTATTTTCGTAAAATATGGATAACCTCGTGGTCCCACAGGCGATAAATACATACGGTCGCCCTGGAAGCTAATATAACAACATTTTCATGAATTCATCGTTATACACATATTCTTATCACATCAACCGATAACTATATTTAGAATATACTTCAAATTCTCCCACAGGAATCCTTACAAACTCGAAAAAAATTAAAAGATAACATCAACATCGTGGATGCTGAACTATCAACAAGCTCAAATATTTTCTATCAACTCTATAAATCAATATTTACCAAAGTCATCGGTGATAAGCGGGGATTTTTTCGAAAATCGAATAAATAATAAATTTTCATCATATCGTGTCACAGTTTGCCGTATTTACGAAGCGCGCACGCTGCGATAAAGGTCAGTTTTGAAATCGTTATCGCCATGTTTGTATAATTCATTTCTTGCGCTCAACTTCGACATCAACATGGAACATTCGGTTTACGAATAATTATGAATTATGAATTTATTAATGATGTTTACGAGCTTACACTCCACATCAAGTATTCCAGTACATTCCTACAACCAATCAACTTGAAATTATTAAGAAAAAAAAACTTGCCTAGCAATTTATCGCGTTATAATATTGCTAATAATCGTAATGTCATAGAGTTATCTATATTGCTCGACGATACATCAGATCATTCAATAGAACTATCTATCAATAGATTTTTTGTTACATAAACACGATACTTTGCAATTCAACTGATAAGTCACTACACACTTGTAATTTATAATTAAGATAATCATAGATAGGTGAATAGTCCAATCAATTGTTATCTGTTATTAAAAATTTCACGAAAATACATTCAATAAAAATAGCCGTCTGAGAATTGGGTGATTATAGATTAAATTACTACCGATTAATCAGCCGGAATCCACTCGAACTGTAAAATCAAAATTTTCCAAACATTACCACGTTGATATCAAAACGCTGATAAATTTCACGATAAATTACAACTTATTCCAAGAAATCTAAAATCTCGCTACTGCAGTGCAGTGTAATTTGCACAAATATTTACATACAGTATGTTTAAAGTAAAATTTATAAAATTCATAAAATTTTCTTAAATGTAAATTAATGCCTTTATTATTTCTAGTGTGGTATCAAGTTGTGAATAATGTGTATATGTAATATTATGCTCCTTAAAGATATAATATGACCGCATCGGAGCTGAAGTTTTCTGCCTTCGTGTGAGTGCGTTGTGCATGCGCACGAACTCGATATCAACGTTTATCAGCGATACTCGGGTGCGCGCTGAGCGCGTATCGCACTAGTGTGTGTATTAAATGAACATAAGTCGCTTTGCATTATCTTATAATATGCATGTCGGTTGTCGCTGGCCGCGCGCGCTCGCCGCTTGTTACTTGTTACCGAGCTGCGGATCATGCGAGCAGCGCGGCGCGACGCCATCGCTGCCAAAGGGGGCATTGCCCGATAATAAACGGTAACGGGCCTTTCGCCTTTTTACGAGATAAGAGCAACAGTTTTCATAAATCCTGTTGGCTCCCCAGCAGGGTAAAAACACTCTCCCATTGGTGGATATTCTTTAGGGGAGGCTTGAATGAAGAAATATATTCATTGGGCGTCGCGACGCTCGATAATAGTCATGCGCATTATGAGAAAAACATGGAGTATGTTTAAATGTTATAATATTATACTCTGATCTATATCTATGTCTATATCTACATCATTACCGGTTGACTTCTTTCTTTCTATAGAGTTGCCCGTTGCCCGAGAAAAGCAAAGCAAAAGAAGGCACTAGTGCCCGTTGCGGTTCTTCGCCGCCAGCGCACGGGAATCGTGTGGGTCGCTGCGATCCGACTAACGGAACGACCGTTGTTTTTACCTTTTCTTTTACGCGCACCTACCGGCGCGATGCAACTACAACCGATGCTTTTCCAACTCTGAGGAATCGCAAGTGCGCGACGATGTTATGTAAGAGGACGCGCCCAGAGTATCATCACCAGACACATACAGACACACTAAATGCGTAAGTGAGGACGCAGAGGTGAAGTGAAAATGGTGGATGAGCGTGAGTCAAACAGGAAGTTTTGTAACGGAGTAATGCACTAATGCACAAGTGCAGCAAACCAAGCAAAAGGGCCACAAAAACAATCATTTACTACCGAGTGTTTCCATAAAACATAAAAACAGAAAAAATAAACACAAACCAAAAAAGACTAAAAAATAAAAATAAAATACTTGGCTAAATTTTTACAAGAATTTTTGACCTATTGAAACACTCGGTATATAAATCATAAACACCACGAATTGTGCATCCATCCATTAGTAATGAAACCAACACGAGAGCAAAAAAATAAATAACAACCAGCCTAGATAGATAAAAACAGGAAGAGGCCGCGAGTATCATTTATAATAACAGTGCGCACGCGGTGATCCAAACGTAAGAACGGTAGGAAGTTAATTAATTAAACTTTTAATTATACCATTCACGTAATCAGTAGATACCAACCAACGTGCACGACAGCCAGCGAGATAAATCACTCACGGCGAGCGGGCAAAACAACTCCATAGTTCTCAGCTTTTTTTTTTATTTTCAAAAACTAAAAATGTCTACAATTACAACCAACAACAATGCACTTTGCACTCAGAAATATGTTTTTCATATATAAAATTTATGTGAAATAAAAGCCGGCGTGATTTACGAGCACATCGCATCCATTGGTGAACGTTTCGTCGCGCATCGAAAACTCCAATATGTGAGAGAGGTTCCGTGAGGTGAGAGAGGTGCCCGAGACCCATTAGGAACTTATTTATGTAATAAGTAATAATAATGAGTGTTTTATGGATTCGATAATAAATCGTTTGTTCCTTGGTCATGCCATTACCATCACATTCACAATCCACATGTATTACAACGATATTTAATAAATATTCAATTTTTTTTTCGAAATTTTTGCTAAAATTTCCTTTCCTACAAATCGTGCGGATATATTTATTTATATTTTACCATGCGCACGTTTTATCGCAACTTCGTGTAAGTCACGTTGTAGTTTCCAAACGTAGATAAATATTAATTTCAAATTTCATGCCAACCCAAGTCGGCGATATTTTTCCACACTTTTTTACCGGAGTTTATAGCTTCGCCTGAGTCATCTAATCGAATTACAATTATTATTTCACCAACGCGCAAACGCCCAACACACACTTATGTACTCGTATATAATATATTTCCTTGCAGCGCTAAAAAGTTTAACTGACCAGCAGCCAGCGAACCATTCGAGCAGTGATTTGTTTTTATCGCTCAAGCTCAATGCTTTGCTGCGCAAGCAATGTACACTACACGCGTTCGGTGTGTGTTTGCAGTTTTTCCCAATCATAACGAACCGCGATTGCGAACCAAACGGTAACGTAATACGTTTTCCTATTAATTTCTGCTTGATCAATGATGCGTGGCATGCCCACTTTCTATCGCGTATCTTGAACGCGCCAAGCAGACAAAAAACAACGCACAAGTACGAAATTCATACGAAAACCACTCTGTTTGATATTAGATCCATATTTGTACAAATTGATAAAAAATATATTTTTGGTAAAAACTATTTTTTTACAACTAAGGATGTTTCTAAACAGACAAAACATTCAAACCACGCCAAACATAATTTATCGAAGGATGAACATCAGAATTTCAATCTTTACCCAAACCACCACACATGCCCGATGCACAATGCACATGCATGTTTATTATTATTATATTAGCGTCGCCGTCGTGGGATTCGTATGCGCAGAGAGACGGCCATCAAAACATCAATCGATTTTCTTCTGTTAGTACAACGTGCACGCACTCGGTACGCAAAAAGCACGTCAACACAATCAATAAACATTCAGCATACGTGTTGAACACGACTCTTCCGTCATCGATGTTATGATGATTATTAATTTAACATCAACGGATAGAAACATGGCAGCGGACGAAGCAAAAAATACGCAAACCAAAGTTAATTTCGACGTAAATCGGCTGCCTTATAAGGGATGATTGATTGGTAGAACTTGTTCTCGTTTCGTGCGCAGATTTTAACCCTCAGAGTAAAAATAAAAACAACCATAATTTTAAGCGTTCGCTCGTAAAAGAAAAAAATAACAAAATCAACGAGCGTCCTCACCACGTAGAGACGTAGAGATTGGAACCCCCTCGAGGGCGATCCGAGTTCGAAATAATTCTGACCTGCCCGAACCTTCCGCTGTGCGCATATAAACGACCCACTCACAAACAAAGCCCCATGGCAGAGAGAAGAGGTAAATCTGTGGTAAATATTCCGCTCGCTCGTGCAAAGGGAACCAGGCACCAGAAAAAAAAAGAAATCCGAGCCCTCCGAAAGGCGAGATGTTAAAAAAGATAAATTTTAGCCCCTTGTCAAGAAAAACTCGCCCAACAAAACCCAATTTGTTCCGTCCTTCTCGGGCACCAAGCCCGAAAAATGCTTTCGACGTGGGCCTCGGAATCACGGTCGCCCCAAGTCGCGCGCTTATCTCTATCTGACTTGAAAGTCTCGCTGGTCGCGCTGCGCGCGCGCGTACGGTTCAAGGGTTCCCCACGTCGCCAGCGCAAGCAGTTACTGAGCCACAAGTGTTCACAGTCCACCAACTCAAACACTCCTAGCGCAACATATAGAATCCATCGACAGTCGGCGACTGGTCGCATGCGCTCGTAAATTGTAGCGTCCCTAAAGTAGAAAGATTTAAGCGAATGTAAGTATACTACGCGTCGGCGACGTGGTGCTAATGTGCCTCATGTTTGGCTAGCAGAGAAGATGATAAAGAGTCGCCTCAAAGATGCACTTTGAACGCACACACACACGCATACAAACACAAACGCATCGAGGGTTATAGCTGAGCTAGTCTCCCGAGAAGTGAAAAAATCAATACATAATGGTCATAACAACCGCCCGGAGATAAATGCGTGAAATATCGCTCGCAGCGCTCAAATTGCGGGCTTAATTTCTGAATAAATAACGTGTGAGTGTGTGACTGCTGACGAACTGACAAACAGATTACAAACAAAAAACACACCATGGACCCATATTAAAATTTCATATCTAACGCCGCAGCGCATGATTATTTATGAATCTCTTCATAAATATTTTAATAGGACGACGTTTTCCGTCTTGCGAGGCGCGTACTGTACTTATTTCACGTTTTACGATTAGATAAGACGTAGTGTACGGTTGTTTTGTTTGCGCTTGTAAATTTTATTGAAAGCAACTAAAGCGACCCCTATTTTTGTTCGCGTCCACGGCCTGAAAATAAATAGTCATAGTTGGTAATATAGATAATAAATAATCACAAGCGCTCATTATGCGTTGGCCAGTGTAGCGGGCGATATTGAGTTACAAAAATAAATTGACAAACAACTTCCTTAAATAGCCCACTTAATGTCTACACACACAAAGCCATATGCAGTAATAATGTTGATTTCGTTTAATGTTTAATCACTGTTGACTCGACACACACGCCGCAATCGCTTCGTAGAAAGTCTTTTATTCGGCAAAACCGTCGATAGATTACTAATAAATTTCATAACGTCGAAAACTTGCACGCACAAACTATCATACGATATGTAAATATACAATCGCAAACGACAATTTAATTAATTATGCATTAAATATTGATTTGAATCAAAACGAAAATGAAATTGAATGTGTTTCCAGTCTTTTTATTTAAGTTAAGTAGCAGTCTTGTTGGCTATGCGCAATGCATTATACGCGTACTCGTAAATTCACTTTCACTCGTGTTCGACGCGTAATTTCTATCACTTGAAACACCTAGTGCACACACACCGGCAGGCAGCAAATTGCAATTATTCGAGCCAAACAAACACAGTTACCAAACAAGCTCGAGGTGTTTTCATGAATGTTTAATGCCGTTGTTATACAATTGCCGGCGAAATCGCGCGCCAAATAATAATATCGTAAATTGAAACTTATACTTTTGCTAGATATCAAAAAGGTTGAAATAAAAAAAATCCATAAAAATCATTCATATAAACAGAAAAATACAAACTTTCATTACAATTTACTTTCAACTATCGCAATTTTTATCGTAGGTAATGATTTACCGTGGGTAAATGTCAAACATTTGAAGAAGTTTATTTCCAAAATAATATTCAAATGTCACCGAAAATTACAATGGAATCATATTTCAAAGCATCTAATGTCATAATATGAATGCCAATTTCACAATAAATTAAACAATCAGTTAATTCAACTCGATGCGGTGGAAAAATACGCGTTGGGGAAATATTCTTAATTACATTTAATTGCATTTTAATGAAACACAAAGAAATGTAATAAGGAAGTTTAATTAAGATGAACACATGTTTATGCCGTCGTCGTTTAATCTTATTAAACGGTGGTAAATTTCAAGATGAGATAATTTACCTAAGTGCTCAAGAGAGGAAAACCGAAACAAGTTGTCGCTCGACCTTTGGCATTATTAAATTTTATAAACACATAATTACTAATTACTGGTTGTAATTACCGCTAAGATGTGGGAAAGCGAAATTCAATTTCCTATGCAATGCAATGCAATGAGTTGCCATACAAGTACCGAACATAGAAAAATACTCAACACATACAAAAAACACTTGTCTCGAATGGTTGATCATCTGTACAATATCAATTTATGATTAAACGTTGATATGACAATTCATATGCCTGTCCCTCATAGGAAACGCGCTTGAAAACACACCGCTCGCGCGCGCGCTCGCACACAATGGAAATAATAGTGTTCGGCGCACACAACACACGAAAACGAAAAAAAAAAAGCAAAACAACGCGACCGGCAACACAAACCGGCGCGAGCGCAATTTAAAGGCCAAGGTTGTGCCCGCATCGAAACGCGCTACTGGTCTACTAGACGCGCTCTAATGCTAATAATAATAGCGCGAGCCGCGTTATTATCCTATCCTCTCGTGCATTATCCTGCACATCATCACTCCGAACGCCCGAAACACAAACAACGCAAAAAACAAGCAGCAAAGAGCAAAAAATACGAAATTACTTGAGAGTAACACATAAATGTTTAATTTTTTCCATCCACACAGTTAAAATAACTACAAATATTAATTTTAAACCTTTACGAGCTTGCGAATTGCAAACAAGAATTCAAAGAAAAGAAAATGCAATAAAATTTCGTGAATAAAAACTTGAATATTACTTGAATACTATGCAAATATAACAATAAAATAAATATTAATATCGCACCAGCATATGCTCATATATGAATTATTAATTAACAATCAAAATGTTTAACTTTGTTGTGTCGGCGCATGGTTTATTCTGTTTCGACAAGATCATACATTTATTGTGTACTTTTCTCGTGCTTCAATTCAATTTTGACAGAATGACAGCGCAGAAAATACTCCAATATCAATGTTGCTGATGGTTTTATTCAATTGCTCATCGATTGACGCACTTTCGACTAAATTAGCGAATAACGATAAGACGTCAATTTACTGAACCGCAAAATGTGAGTGAGTGAACTTCGATTTGTCCATTACGACATTCCACAGATCGAAATATAATTTTCCACAGAAACAGAAGTGAACACTTGTATGTTATTTTCATACAATTTCATTTTTTTCTTCATGTACGTTACATTAAATGATATAATTATGGTATTTGGCGGGTAAACACGATAAAAAAATGCTCAACTGGCAGCAAAACGAGTGCGCCGATAACACACATGGCTGTGCGTCACGTTTTTACGCTTTTCGCGTCGGTTTATCGCCGCTAATCATTATTTGTTATTCAATTTTTTTTATCTGCTTCATATAGTCAATCGGCGGGCGAGCGTCGTGTTTGTTTTCGGATTAATATCCGCGTTGCAGCATCTGTGCGGTCACGTTATCTCCTACTATCAAAAGCGCTTACATATATTATTAGGAACTTAATTGAAAAACAACTTGTAAAAAAACAACAACATTCACATGTTTTAACGCAGACCGTGAATGAAGCAAGTTTCGGTTGAATTATCTTCGTTAAAAAACTATATATTAATATTATGTAAGTAAATATTTATTGGGAGATTATTTGACGATAGAAGTTTTGAGGTTTTTTGCTCGTTTGTGGTAGCACGCTGCGAAACCGAACCGGCCAAGCATTTAAATGGTTTATTTATGCGCGAAAACCCGTCCTGAACAACGCCAAAAATCGCAGCGCGCGCAAAAAAAAGAATGAAAATTCACTTTTACACTCTGCGCACAAGCCTTTAACGACTGTGCTTTGGACACAGTGTACTTCAAAAATTTCAAGGTTAAGGCGCAATTTATGCCCGCTTTTTTTTTAGCAAACACTAGGAATAAATATCCAGAAGCAGTATTCAAGTGCTGTTTACCAGCATCAAAAACTGGCGAGGAGTTTTTATCACTCCGAAATCGTGCGCGCCTCATTTGAATAATTAAAATTTATTCCCAAGTCGCAACTCTAATTCCTTATTCTAAATCAGTTGCCATGTAAAGTCTCAACAACCGAAAAAACAAATGTTAACGCTGATTTAATATTAAGATGAGATGCGAATCAATTCTATATTCCGCAGATACTTCCTAGACTTTTATTTGTTGTTTTTTTGCTCTCAAGCTGCTTACTGGTTATTTAGTGGTTAGCCAAATTGAAACCGAAATTTCTTGTGCCAGTGTGTGTCTAGTCCAACAAGTGTACGAAATTACGTATTCAAGGCCGCCGCGCCACTAGACTGGAGCATTTCGCATTCGATGAGGACTTCTTTGCGGCGCAATTTAAATGTTAATTTGCATGTCAAACACGCATACCGCATGCACTTTAGGCGCAAAAATAATTGACAAACATTTTTTCACTTCCTAAGATAGGAAAAATGTAAAAAAAATGTTTTGGTTAATTTTAGATATTAAAATAATCAAACTCAACGGTTTTACTCATTAATTACCCTTTTTAAAGGGTTCTTTTAGTTTTTAAATACTTTTAACTTGTTTTGTGATTGTAGGATTTTTTTAAAAGGCCCTTAACGTGGCCGTACGTGATAAAAAAGAAAGACTGCAAGCCTGCGTTTGGTCCCCTTCGTTAACTCTTGTTTTTTCCCGTGTAGAGTATCAACGTATCAACAAATCAAGACCGACGTTTTTCATACATTATACACACCACAGCAAGTAAAAAGCTTTGAACGCAGTAATACGTCCAACTTCCAAAAACTATACTTAAAATTCACCGTTCAGCGTCGCCGTCGTCGTCCAAGCCTCTCGACAAACACAGCAGTTTTTCATAACAACCCTCCTCGGTTTCTCAAGCGTCAAGTGGGCTCTCCGAGAAGCCCAGGCAGCAGTCAAGTCAATCGACAAACTAGTTTTTTAAATGGCCTGTTTTTTATTTTCAAGCGAATGCGCATGAATTTAAAAGCAATCGATGAGTCCACATATACCGAGCGATACGCACGTCACACACATAGTGTTGTATAACCAATTGCATAGCAATATCAATCTAGTTACACTTTGTATAATCACAACAAGGAATAGTTTTACGTGTAAAAGGGTAAGACGAGAAGGCAAAAATGCAGGTAAAACTTAATGGCAACTCTTAAGGTAACTCTCAACGCAACAAAACTTATGGCATTGTAAGTAAGTTGAGGTGAGTTAAGATAAGCGCGTAGAAGGTTTATGGTTGGCGCGACTTCATAAATGTGTAAATTATCGAGACGATGCGGATGATTTATTTTAATTAACTCGGGGTGAAATAATGAAATAATCCCCAATAGATTTATTTCATTTCATTCCATCTACTACTCGTGATAAATAAATGAGCAGCGAGAATTCTTCGCTTCTAATAATGTCAACTTGTGCAATAGCACTACAAGTAGCCAGACAAACGAGAAAAAATTAATATCCTTGTTATCCTTAACCCAAAGAAAAGAAAATGTTTGCCAACTTGAGAGACAATCAAACGCAATCGAAAGTTGTTCATCGGTCACTTCTGAAAACAAATAAAATAATAGAATTACTCGAAAATAAACAAAGAAAAAATATTTGTGGTTAATTATCTGGCGCTATATGATTACATATTCACGTGTTTATGGCAAATAATGAGTAATTCTGTTATTCTTGCCGGTAAACCGCATGAATCAAGCGCGCAATCATCAAAACGACTTCCGATTCGTGTCGACGCGAATCTTCTGTCTACAAATTGCGCGAATCGCCGGCCGTACGTCATCAATTTACAACTCGAGTGCAAAAAAACAGCAATAATGACAACTTGCGACACATGGCCTACGGCTGTTTGAGTCATATTCATATCGGACGTGAATCATATTCGCACTACACATTCATTGCATAACATCGCATTGTTTTTATTTAATTTATAGATATATTTACAATTAGTGTAAAGTGCAGTATCGTATGATTCATTTAGTTTTTGTCCGTTGATTTCACAATTAATTTCAATTATATCTAAATAAAAACCTGTTAATAACACAAACGTAGAGAGGCGAAGCATGTTTATCTCCTCGGATTTTATTTGTACATGCATTTACCAAGCAGTCAGTCAGTCCGACCGAGCGATTATGTAAAGCCAAAGATGTCACGTACCGTCGACAAACATTCGACGGCAATGGCGACGTAAGAAATTATTATAAACGACGTGCAGCGCACAAACAACACGTACCGAATGCATCGTACGACTGCGCAACATTATTGTTTTCTTGGTGACGGACGAATTAATAAAATTATGCCTAAATTTTCTTCGTTTTTCTTTTTTTTTCTTTCTCAACACCCGCACTGCCGACACGACAACCGCAGTCGAAAACCTTTCAGAATACTCTTGGCTGTCATATTTACAATTCGTTTTAGCCGCTCGCTAAATATTTGAAGATCAGAAAGTCACGGACGGACACACACCACACGCACACACACGCAGTTAATTCTTCTTTGTATCATACAGGATGTTAAATTTCTATGCATATAGTAAAAGTGGAAAGAATCGCCAGTTTATATCTCGTTTTATAGCTAAAAATGTTTGCATGGCGGATCCTGCGGGCCCTGCGGCCCCGGTTGGCTGGTTAATGTCGAAATATATAAAGTCGCGACTTGTTGCAAAGCGTTGCCGGGCGCACCGACCAGAGACGAATATGAGAGACAGGTTTTTCAAGAGTTTATATATGGTCGCGGCGGCGCGAGACTGGCTCTTCGAAAAGGTAATGGGCTATCCGCTATCGGTTTTTGTGAGCCGCGCGAGCGCTCGGCCGTTTTAGTCTTATTTTTCCTTCATTTTCGTTACTCCCTACAGCTTTAATACACTCCGTCACACGTCCACGTCATCAGTTTATTGCAACTGGTATCTCATCATCATCTTCATCTTCATTTTCATCGAAAGCAATACTATACTTTATCTTAAGCAAAAAAAAGCACGATATATTTTAATCATACAGGCTGCAATATAACAGCTCGTGTAGTTAACACCAATAAGGAATAAAACCAGTTAAGATGAAATCGAAATTGAAATTATTGCAAAATATTTCATGAATGAATGACACTTTTCATATTTTTAAACAGTAAGGAAGAAAAAAAATTACTGTTCCCGATCCAAAGCAATTAATCAACAAATAAAAACATTAATAAATCGTGCGATAAACATGTTAATCATTAAACACCAATCACCATTACAACACATTCTATACTAGATTCACATCCCTGCATAATAGACGAACACGTTTTCCTTGAAGCGCGAGCGCAATAATAATAACGTAATTAAATCGTGCAAAAATAACAACAAATAAAATCATAATCGCTAATAACTAGAAAATAAACTAAACACCAACCATACAACACACTCGTCTAAAAAACTACACCTAATCAACCAAATCAGGCGAGTGTCGCAAAACGTCAAACATGCAATGATGATAATTAATGAATTGCATTCCGGGCGCCGCTCAATTATCCTATGCGCATAACAATTAATTGCCGCTGATTATGCCAACGTGTTTGCGCACGCTTCTAAACCACAAACGCACACATCACACTTTGATGACACTGTGCATCTATTGAAATTATCGCTAATTACACCGAAATCATTTTCACGCAGTGATAAAAACAAGTCACGATCAATTTCGACAATCAACAAAATCTATGATATAAATAGTCAGTGTGCCAACTGAGTAGACAATAGGCGCGTAAATATTACACTCGAGACGCTTGACAACCGAAAACTCGACAAAACCGAGACCATAACCCAAATATTATTCACTGTGTGCATTTCTTATCTCAATTTTTGAAACCTTTCATATTTTATATCAACTTCCTTGAAGAGAAAGCATAAACACTTAAAACTTAAAGGAGTAAAATTTGTGGCGCCATCTATGCGCATGAAATAAAACTATTTATTGGCTATTCTTGAATGTATATATTTAATAGACAATTTTGCGGTTGTTACGTAAAGAAAGTGAATCGTAAATCGAACAAAATTCAAAAAACGTCCTCGTTCGTAGCGTATTTGAATACCTAAACGCTCGAAATGTGTGTCGCGTGTCTCAATACTCGAAATTTGTCGAAAACCGCGACGCCGCTTCTTCGGTGGTTGCATAAATTTTTACTACTTACATCAGCCGACCGGCACTGCTGCGTTAAATAACAATTGTGTAATTGTCACGTGCTGTGCGTCTCTTCGATTACAAATGTTTACAAATAATTAACGACTATCAATTTGTGGGAGCTTCTTGTCGTATAGCCTATCTATTTTCGTCATTCGATTGTTTGCATTGCGAGATTTGTAAATGCACACTTTGTAATCGGTATTTATTTTAAATGTTTGCAAATTTACAAATTCCAAGGCATAAATACCTACGCATTAAATAATCCTTAAATTCACTTCTTTACTTTGAAATACATGTAAACAAAATAAAAAGTTGTGTGATGTGATTTCTGTGGCTGTAGTGATAACAAATCATCAACAAGACAAGAAAATCTTAAAAATATCTATTGCAGCGACATCTATTCTCACAAAAATGAAACAAAATTTAAATTCCTTGCTTAACATGACAATGAAGTTATTCCAACAATAAAATTTTATTTTTCCTCAAAAATCTAAATATAATTAAATATAGTAGAGGCCAACACATAAACACGCATTATTTATGCTTTTTGAACAGCGAAATATCTGCTTAGTCAGGGAATTTCTTAACGTCTCATTCTTCGCAGCCACCTTTTGTAAAACAAGCCCGCATGTACATAATGTTGGCACAAATTCAGGAAAAACTCCAATGCGTGATTCAGTCCTGCACGTTGTGTGCGGCAGAGGCAGACGAAAACGCGGCCCCGAAAATAGACGCGCGCGCGTTCGAGAGTCGCGTGCTCAACACGCTCGACATTGACTTTGTGCGCGGATCGCGTATAAATATAATTCCGGCGCGAAGAAGACCAAAACACGGCCGGCGCTAAAATTAAACGTTAATGAGTTATTTTCGGTGCAACGCGCTCGCCACCACGCATTTAAATACAAAGCGCACAGTTATACCGAAAGGACGAGACAAAAACAATGCCACCGTTTCAAAAAAACACTCTGCAAGAGACCAAACGAAGCAAAAATGTTAAAGCGTAAACTAGATTCACTTAAAAAATAACAATGAAACTGAAAGTCATTCATGGATTGAGATATCTGACAAATATTTTTTTACCATTTACACCAAGGTTCTAGTAAGATCATCCTGGATGAGTTTAAATTTTTATTTTTTTTCGCTTGTGAGATTAGTTTCTTTGGTTTGGAAAATAGAAAATAAAATAAATAAAAAGGGTCAAGTATTCAAGGTGCATTCGACCCACTCAGGTGCTGCCCAGCCCACACTAGTACCCGGTAATATTAGTAAATGTTTCCCTTTACTGCGACTTTGATTCCGCCTCAGCGCAAAAGATTTATCGCAATTGTTTGCACCACACACGGGCACCAGGCGCGCAATACGCTGCAATAAAAAGCGCTATAATCAAGGCAGTAGGCAGCACTAGCAGCCAGCAATGGCAGCAAATCTCCGCTCGAATCTCAATTATTTTCCGATTACGCCGCGCGCAACTATACAGCGGCACAAACACGACGCGCGCGCATAATAAAAACAACAAGCTGTTAAATGGAATAAAGTAGTTCGTCACGCTCAGTTGCTCGGTGCTCTTGCAGTGGCCGACATGAAATCAAATTACAAATTATACAAAAGTATAAAAGTGATACCTTCTTGCGATAAACGGCGAAGCGTTAAAACTGCCAAGTGAGCAGGAAGACAACCAAACACGTCGCGCAATATAAGATTCTCAAACATCACGCTTCATGAGCGGACGACAATTCGACTAGATTAATGTAATACAGCTGTCATCAATTGTTTCATATTTAATGCGCGTCCATTCGCGTCCATTGTTGAGGTCAAATGTGTTTATCTAGGGTTCTGGCGGGAATATAAACTAGCCAAAGCAAAGTCACTCAAAAATTAGCAATAATGCACACATATGTTGCTGCAATTATCAAGTCTGGCGTATAGACGAAACTTTTTAATTGTATTTTTATTAGTCATCGCACCCCATGCGGGCTAATTAGCTTAATCATCCCCTATCTCAGTGTTTCCCGTCGCTCCACTTTAAATTGATATTAATTTGTTGGAATTAATAAGCAACTAATGTGATGCAAATGTCTGGAAAGCTCAAGGGAAACAGAAAACATTAAAAATATTTAAACTTTGTTTTTTTGTGTTTTAAGCTTTTTTATAATTTTTTCAATATTTTGATTTCACTTTCATGTCAACTCTTAATATTTTTTATTACTTCTGTTGTCATTGAACAAAAATGACAGTCAAATTAGAAATTATTTCCGCATTTCATTTCAATTAAACTGTAAACTCGCCGCCGAAAAAAATTAATTATTAACACAGGAAATAACAAAAACAAAATGCAATTAGCATACAATTCGTCGGTGAAAGAGCCGCGCGCGTGAGTTTTGCGAAACAA